GTCGTTGCAAATGGCAAGATCTCATTCCTTTTGATGGCTGCATAATATTCCATTGTATATATATACCACATCTTCTTTATCCAGTCATCTGTCTTGACTGCTTTTTAAATGGCATTGAATCTTATAGACAGGCTATCTATTGCTCCCTAACTAGACAGTCAGGTCCTTGAGGGTAGGGCCAGTGTCCTTCAGTGGCATCCCTTATAGGACCAGTTCCATGCCCAGCACACACTGGGTCCTCTGAGCCTCATGAAGTCCTTTCTGCTGGTTCAAGAGGACGAGGGCCAAAGTCGTTCCAGGAAGGCTCATTCCACCTGTCCTGCCAGCCCTGGGACTTTTTAACCTCAAGTTCTATTGTTGTGAACACTGACAAATCTCGGCCCAGGACTCCTCCCCACCTCCATCGCCCTTCCTTGTCTTCTGCAACCAACCTGCTCAATGATTTCCTTAACAAAAGCAGAAGTATTTACCTTGAAATCATCTCCACGCCATGTAGCTATGCTGCTTTCAGCAGGGTTGGGGACATCAGGACAACATAAGTGCTTCAATTTGCTAATAAGAGATAAGATTTTAAAACAGGAAGTAAGTTCAAGAAGTATGTTACTTACACTGCATGGCTCCACCAGAAGAGTGGAGCTTTGCTACAGGGAATAAATAAGGGCAAGCTTCTGACCTCCTGACGGAAGCTGGGAACACATAGTCTGGAGAGTGAAATTACAAGTCATCAGTGGGATGTGATGGAAAGACACTTTTCTTACCCTCTCCTGCCCCTGCATCCCCACCCTGAGACCTGATGTTGGAAATCACACTATCACAGAACCATGTCTTCGAGATTTATTCTCCAGGAAGGGTAACGCTCTAAGCCTGATACGATACCCACACTTTAGTGCAGTGATTCTCAAAGTGTGGTCCCAATCAGCAGCAGCTGCCTCACCTGGGAGCCTGTTAGACATGCAAAATGTACAAGAGTTTGGCTGGTGGCTTGGTTTCTACCTGTGGTTGGGAAATGAGGTTGACATTCACTTCACTAGAACTAAGCATAGCTGCTTGGCAGAGAAGGCCCTCAACTGTGCAATTCCGAAGAGAGAGGTCTACCGGGGAGGGAGCCCTTGACCAGCAGGGTAGCATGAAGCTCTCTAGGGAGAGAAAGCACAAGACCCTGAGACAAGCTTCCTTTCCCACAGTGGCCCGGGCACGCAGGACAAATGTCCCCACAGCCAGCCCTCCAACACTGCGCCATGAACAAGGAACAAGTCTATGCTGGGCGTACTGCTGGCCAGTGCTCTAATTACGTGGGTACGTTCCCTCTCTACCCAGGAGAGAAGCAAGTGGCCTGAGGCCTCCTGCTGCTGCCAGACACTGAGAGAAACGACGTTCTCCCTAACGTTAGAGGCAGATGCCAAATATGGAAGATAAAGCCTATGGGGCGGCTGGTAATCCCCTGGCATAAGCCTGGTACGTGGGCTGTGGGGAGTGAAAGTCCTCTTGTTTGGTCAGTTCTGATGAGCGCGGTATGGCATATAAATAAACTCAGTCAATATGTACCAAATTAATAAACGAATAAACACCCCCTTAATAAGAGAGGGCCCTCTCCACCCACGATGCTTCCACCCATTTCAATCCCCGCTTTTGAGGGTACATGCTGTTGCCTATAAACTCACTTGGGTTTTTTGAGACCATATGCCACTGTCAGCATGATGAGAATGAGAAGACCACCTCCAACCAAAGAAGTTATAAATAAAATCTCAAGGACACCTTTGGGAAGAGGAGAACAAAAATCAGTAAAAGGATGCGCTCCTCACTTTCTTGACAAAAATTAAAGATTAATTTTTTTTTCTTCCAGGACTTTCAGCAACACGTTCCTTATGACTTCTCTTTCAGTTCAATTAAAATGTATTCATAAAAAGAAATGGCATTTGTGGCTCCTCATCCAGTTCTCTTCTGCCTGAATAATAGTGATATTGTAATAATAATAGATCCAGACTGGTCAATAATTATGTTCACCAGGTTCATTCTCCAACTTTGTTCCTTTAGCACATATTTATTGAGCACGTACCATTTTCCAAACACTATTCTGGGTAATAAAACAAACAGCAATAAGGAAGAAATACAAGATCCCTACTAGCATGGAGCCTACATTCTGGTAGAAAGATTCAGACAACAAAGAAAGATTATTTCAGACATAACAGGATGATAGAGTGTGTTTAGGTAAGACAGTTAGTAACTTTACCTATCGGCAAAGGAAGACTTCTCTGAGAGGTGAAATCTGAGCTAATATTAATAATGACAAGAAACCACTCATGCAAAAATATGGAGAAAGCATTCCTGGCAGAAGAAACAGCAGATGCAACTCTTGAAGCAGGAAGAAGTTAGCACAGATAGAATCAGAACATGGAAGGAGATGAGGTCAGTAAACCCCAGCTCACGAAGGACCCTGAAAGCAATGGGTAGGAATTTGTATTTTATTTAACACAAAACAGAAGCCACTGGGGGTTTCAAGCAGGGGCCTAGGGTTTTAAACTCTGACTGCAGTGTGGAGAATAGACTGCAGAGGAACAAAGACAGAAGCAGGGAGATCTGTAATCTGCAGACAAGTGTAAGAAATATTGAGGCTCCAAGGCAGGCTTTTGCCTTAAATTTGACCCATGGAGAAAATTCTAGTAGATGATGCAATCTGTGCCTAGTGCTATGAAAATACAATATGGGGGCACCTGGCTGGCTCAGTTGTTAAGCGTCTGCCTTCGGCTCAGGTCATGATCCCAGGGTCCTGGGATCGAGCCCTGCATCGGGCTCCCTGCTCACCGGGGAGCCTGCTTCTCCCTCTCCCACTCCCCCTGCTTGTGTTCCCTCTCTAGCTGTCTCCCTCTCTGTCAAATAAATAAATAAAATCTTTAAAAAAAAAAGAAAATATGATTTTAAAAGATTCTACAGAACAATATCAAAAAGAACTCCAAAAAGGCAGTATTAGTCCATAAAAACAGAACATATTTTCTATATGGAAACACATGCTATATTCACATTTTCCAGAGCCATAAAGATATTTTTATTCTTTTCAAAATGTGATGAGCAAGAGGCTTTCAAGAGTACTTAAACCAGGGGTGTCTGGATGGCTCAGTGGGTTGGGCATCTTGATTTCGGCTCCGGTCTCAGGGTCATGAGGTTGAGCCCCGCATTGGGCTCCACACTGAGCTTGGAGCCTGCTTAAAATTCTCTCTCTCCTTCTCCCTCTGCCCCTCCCTACCCTCTGCTCACACACTCTCTCTCTCTAAAAAAAAAAAGAGAGAGAGAGTACTTAAACCAGAATATTTCTAACTTTTACTGTAAAAATTGGCAATGTCTCCTTACTTTTAATATAAATAATTCTTAAAACAGTTCTAGTATATCTTTAAAATCAAATCTCTGCCCCTCAAGGACTTGAGAAAATTAACATATTTCTGTTTCTCCCATTCCCCTTCTCTCTTTCTTCTTCATCTCTCCTCTCATTCTATCTTCTTTTCCTCTTGAATATTTCCCATAACCATCATACAACACTATATTGTATTTTATATTTTGTTATTAAATTTTTCTTGCTATTTTTTAATATAAAAACTGGTAAGTAGAACATATTGGGTACTTTTTTGCTCTAAAATCTCCACAAATGATGGAAGTAAAGTTCCTTCCTGTGGACAATGGTGCTTGTTCTACCAAGGTTTTCCCTCCAAGGCCCCACTATGTAGTAACCACTGAAACACAGAAACTGGTGACTATGAACTTGGGAACAGCTTTGCAGCAGGGGCTGGTTTGTACTGAGAGTGAAGTTGGAATTAACTTGAACCCTTTTTCTCAAGATGACATGGGACTACCCATGAAGAAAGAGCAAAATGACCAGTCTTTTCAAATTCAGTTCTCAATGTGTTTGCTCTCCCTACTCTCTCCTCACTTCCTACTTCTTCCTACTTATGTACTTCTCTTTCATTAGGCTTCCCCTGCCTTTGGCAAACATCATCTCTAACTGGCCTAAGGGAAATGCCAAGAAGACTTATCCAAGGCATAAAGGAAATACTCACTAACTGATAATGTCTTGAAGTTTATCTTGGTGCCGTTGGTTCCCCCAGCCCTGGTGCTGGCCATGACTTGAAGAGTATAAGAGGTCTTTCGTGTCAGGGACTCTAGGCCATACTGCAGGATGTTGGAGTTGACTGTCTTGGCTAAAGGAAAAATACAGAAGTCAAACATGATAGCCAAGCCCAAGTAAAAATTGTGCTTTAGGAAGAGTGAAATAAGAGGGACTGGGACCTGTACCTCCAGGTCAGCCAATCTAATACCCCAATCCTTCTATCCATGGTCTGCTTAAAATTAGGCTATAAAGATATATCAAAGACCTAAACATAAGAGCTAACACTATAAAATTCTTAGAAGACAACATAGGGTAAATGGTGGCCCTGAACTTGGCAGTGGTTTCTTAGATATGATACCAAATACACAAGCAACAAAAGAAAACAGATTAATCTGGACTTCGCCAAAATTAAAAGCTTTTGTGCATCAAAAGACATTATCCAGAGAGTGAAAAGACAATCTACAGAAAGGGAAAAAATATTTGCAAATCATATATTTTATAAGGAACTTCTATCCAGAATATAGATATATATATAACTCTTATGACTCAATAACTGAAAGACAAACAACCCAATTTAAAAATGGGCAAAGAAATTGAGCAGACTTTCTCAAAGAAGATATACAAATGGCCAATAAGCACATGCAAAGATGCTCAACATCATTAGTTATTAAAGAAATACAAAACAAAACCACATTGAGAAACCATTTCACACCCATTAGGATAGTTATAATAATTTTTTTAACAGAAAATAAGTGTTGGTAAGAATGTGGAGAAATTGTAACTCTCATCCATTGCTGGTGGGCATGTAACATGGGGCAGCCACTATGGAAAACAGTTGGGTGGTTTCTCAAAAAGTTAAACTAGAATTATCATATGGGCCAGCAATTCCACTCCTAGGTATAGGCCCCAAAGAATTAAAAGCAGAAACTCAAAGAGTATTTGCATACCCACGTTCACAGCAGCATTAATTACAGTAGCCAAAAAGTGGAAACAACCCAAATGCCCATCAACTGATGAATGGATAAACAAAATGCAGACTATCCATAGAATAGAATATTCTTCGGCTATAAAAAGGAATGAGATATTATTACAATCTACAAGATGGATAAACTTTGAAAACACAATGCTAAGTAAAAGAAGCCAGATACAAAAAGCCTCATATTGTATGATTCCATTTATATGAGATAGCCAGAATATGTAAATCCAAAAGACGGAAAGCAATTTTGTGGTTTCTAGGGACTGTGGGAAGAAGACAATGAGAAGACATGATTAATGGGTACAGGTTTTCTATTTGGGGTGGAAACAGGTAGAGATGATGGTCGCACAACATTACTGATCTACTCAATGCCACTAAATTGTACATTGTTCAATGTTTTAAGTGGTAAATTTTATGTTTTATGTATTTTACCATAACAACAAAAAAAGTTAGCCTAAATAGGAATCCAAGCCTAGCCCAGAATTTAGGATGTCAGTAGATACTGTGGATTCAAGACAAAAGTATGACTTGGCAGTGGGCAACAGGAGTCAGGGTAAAGGGTCCTGCACTGAGGTAAGTGTCACCACTCTACTCTTTAATCCAGGCACACCCCATTCTGCGTTAATAATTGGAAAGTTCCCAGGAGACCCACTTGTTCACAGCCTGACCAGGACAAATTGTATCAACTCCTGTGGTTCCTCCAGGATTCTTAAGTACAGTCACTTCACTCTCATTTGACTCCAAAAAGCTCAAGAGTTAGGTGCGCCTGGGTGGCTCAGTCGTTAAGCATCTGCCTTCAGCTCAGGTCATGATCCCAGGGTCCTGGGATCGAGCCCCGCATCGGGCTCCCTGCTCAGCGGGAAGCCTGCTTCTCCCTCTCCCACTCCCCCTGCTTGTGTTCCCTCTCTCGCTGTGTCTCTCTCTCTCAAACAAATAAATAAATAAAATCTTAAAAAAAAAAAAAGCTCAAGAGGTCGGTGCTCTTGGCCTCATTCTCAGAGAGGGTCAAAGAGGCTAAGTGACTCATGCAAGACTGTAGGGCACCAACCCCTATGGCAGGTGTATCCATAGTATCTCTCTGGGGCTTGGGGGTTTTCCAACTTGGCTACAAGCACACTTACAGAACTCCTTTCCATCTTCAGCTTGGTAAAATATGGTGTAGTTGCTGATGAAACCATTTCTCTGACTCTTGGGAATCTCCTTCCATGTGACTGTGACTGTCTTCACACCAATGTTGTCTGCCTCAGTTACAGGACCCACTGATGGAACTTTACAGGCCAGGGAGAAAAATAATAAGGACTGAATCACAGCTAAGTAGATCCTTTCCCCACAAATGTTGTGGCTGGTACTCAAAGCAAAATCGGTGTCAGAGGTGGGAGGTAGGGGCAGAGTAGGGACACAGCACACCACCTTGTTTGGGAACATAGTTTTCTGGAATTACCCATCTTGAACAGAAGAAAAACACTGTCAAAGGCCTGCAGAAAAGTACTTTCTTACAGAGCCCTCACTGTCATTTGGCATTCAGCTTTCACTCATAGCGGCAACAGCTATTATCAGATACAGCTGAAGGACATGCCCCCATGGGTTACCTTTGAGCGACAGGATATATTTTCTAATGTTGAATCTGGAAAAGGTGAACTTCCAAGTGATAAAAATGAAGTCTGAGCAATTCATCAGTACAACCCTTGATTACTGCTACACAATTAAAAATAATTTTTTTAGCATCTCCAACCTATGATTAACTCTGTAAGGTCCCTAACTTGGTCTTAAAAAAGTGTTGTTTCTGCTTACAGGGCTATTGGCACTAAGCTCCTTTGTGGGGTTGGACAAACTATTTCACCTCTTTGAGCCTTGATTTTCCATTTGTAGAATGAGGGGCTTGGACTTGAGGATCTCTAAATTCTACCCCAGCTTTGAAATCCAGTGAACCTACAACCTGACCACAATTGTGTCAAGCATATGTAGCTTACAAGCTGAAGGTGCAGCACAGCTAAGCACTAAGGCAACTGTGAATGAGCTATAGACATTCACAGCCTTGTCTGGATGTTGGACAGGCCCCAGGGTTTCCTCGCCCCACGGGGCCTTTCCATACATACTGCCTTCTCGGACATAAGCCTGGATGGAATACGACTTGCCCACTCGGTCTCCCAACACTGGATACACAGAGATGTTATAGCACCAGAAGGGCTTTAATTCATCTGTAAAAAAGAGAGAGAAAGAGAGACAGAAAATAAGCCTTAAGCTCAGAGCCTGGCAAAGGAGATCTGTTAGACCAAGTTACATCTACGACTACGGGACATACTCTATTTCTCTACAGTTTCCACATCTGGAAAATAAGGAGGTTAGGTTGGATGGTCTCCAATGTCTATTCCAGTTCTAACCTTTTAAAATTAATTCTTAGAACTAAGTCTTCACTACTCTGATGAAATGACAGAGCCACCCAAGAAGGGAAAAGTAAGAGATCGGGTCCCTCCTCCATCATAGATTTTGTTACATGATTTGGAAGCACTACAGAATAAAACTTAATCCTTCTGTCAATAGCATATCAACCTGGGAACTCAAGTACCATGAATTCTAGCTCCTCTACCATGAACCCCTGCATGAGTATAATTCTTTATATGGGTGCCATTAAGTATTAAGAAATGGTTAGACGGACAGGATTGGGAGGGTGAAACCTCACTCATCTGTCTTTCAAGGAGCAGGGACTTTCTTAAAAAGAAGACTATTCTCTGTATCATTCACCTGGAGAGGGGACCTAGATCTTAAACAGGGAACCAGAACTAAAAGGGTAGCCTGGGAAGGACTGATGAGAGACAAACTCTAGTGTTACCCACATGATCAAGATATCCAGGAAGGGCTCTCTGACGGTGAGGTCACCATGGTGTTTTCCACTTGGAAACAGACCAGATACCTGGTCTGATATCCATGGCTTCCTGGCCCAGCCTAAGTGGGAACCACCAAGAAATATGGCACTTCACTAGGCTTGCACTCACTTTGTCAAATGCTATTCCCCCATATCTACAGCTTTGAAGTCAAAGTTAAAGATTTTAAAACCAGTGGAAATGAAACTGAATCCTACATAGAGGGAACTTGTGGGGTCCACAGTGGCTACCTTTCTGGATTGTCCAGTTCCTGGCCTGAGACACAGATTCCCAGGAAAAAGTGGAGGACTCTGAGTCCAAATCTGGGAACCATTCAACCATCCATGTGTCCACCTCTGGAGCAGAGCTTTGCCACTCCACCACCAGCTGGTCCTGAGTGAGGCAGGCCTGCATGGCCTCAATGCACTGAAATGCTAAGAGAAGGGAAAAAAAGAGAGAGAAAGCTGCCCAACTCATTCTCCAAATGCACCAGCCACACTGGCATCCATTCACTGCCCAAATCATAAAGAAGGTCAAAATTCAGGATCTCCCCTGCAGCCTCCGCTTATGGTGCTGTTTCCATCCTTTTTACTGTATCACTTTTCCTTGCCTCCCACTTTTGATGATTAAGTACCTTCTTAATCTTTCCTTATGTCCCCAAAATTTACCTGTTTCCGAGAAAAGATCTCACTAGAGAGTTGCTGACTCACAAGACTTACCTTCCACAGGTGCTTGTGCAAGTAAAAGGAAGCGAGTCTAAGACAAAGAATGAATCTCTAAAAGCAGAATTTCAGGTACCAGTAATTCTACGGCTGGGAGCTGGGAAATGGTGCCCCTACAGTCATACCTGGGAGCTGGCTTCAAATTTCGACTATCCAGGCTGGCCCCATGCAACCTGGCTACGGACTGCTCTCCGCAAGGCAGTGAGAACTGTATCTGTACCACACCCTCCAAAGCACCTAGGTATGGACTGATATGCAGAGGACAACATTTTCTGCAGGCCTCACCAAAAAACTCATGTTTGGAAACAAGCAACAAGGATTCCTGTAATAGAAAAGTTATAAATAAAATCTTTAAAAATGGGGGGGAGGGGCACGCCTGGGTGGCTCAGTCGGTTAAGCGTCTGCCTTCGGCTCAGGTCATGATCGCGGTCCTGGGATCGAGTCCCACATCAGGCTCTCTGCTCAGCAGGGAGCCTGCTTCTCCCTCTCCCTCTGCCTGCTTGTGCGCTCTCTCTCTCTCTGTTAAATAAATAAATAAAATCTTAAAAAAAAAAAGGAGAAGTTGAACATGTGAGTTCAAATACAATACCTAGGATTTAATTAGAATCAGAGAGCTATCTTATTAAAAATGTTCTAAGTAAGAAGAGAGGAGAACTACTGGAGGCCATTGTGGCACAGAAGGAGGGCACAAAGGGGTGGGGCCCAGAAGATCACAGGGTGCCACTCTCCCCTCTCCTCCGCCCCTTACCACCCACAACATCCCTGAGGCTTCAAAATTGCAATTAACAGAAAGTATGCTTCAATAAACACAAAAGACAGTCCTGGATAAAGGCAGGAAACAGTGTCTTTCAAAAAAATCAAAAAGCCTTCTGAAGCTAGAAGCCTAGGCCAAGTGTAGGAATTTGGTGTGAGGTCTGGGAGTATTGAATCCTGCTATTTCTAGGCAACAAGCCCTAGCAAGCTGTGTGCATATTTAGGAGCCTCTGTTCTTGAAGGTCACAGTTTATGAATCTTTTTCTCAAACTGGGCCTTTATGAGACACTCCAGCTGCTAGTCCCAGAAGGAAGGCCAGGTAATTTGTCAATTTCCTGAAAGGGTCAGGAAAAGCAACTGAGGCATATAGGAAATGTGAAGCTGGAATAGGGGTGGGTGCCAGGACGTCAACCCCATGTGATCCTTAGAGCTCCTATTACCCCCACCTCCCACCCCCCACCCCCGCTCATAGCCTCTAAGCATCCTCATTTACCATTCCAGTCAGGCTAAAAGGCATTTCTAGAGCTTCTAGAATCCTCCCTAACCTCTGGTAGCAGGTAATGTTCATGCTCCCTGATCTTCTCAATTCCTTCTTACTGTTTGTGTGTGTCTGTATATTTTGCTTGGTTGGAAGAACTGTGTGATGTAACCCACACTCCAGAGTCCCTTTGCAGGTCATGCTGGAACCACCCTCCCCAAGATTTTTCTTGCAAATTGTACCCATTATGGTTGAACTCTTTCCCCCCAAAAAGATATCCTCAGTACTGCAGAATGTAACCTTATCAGGAAATCAGATTGTTGTGGATGTTAGTAGTTAAGACAGTGGGTCCTTAACCCAATATGACTGATATCCTCATGAGTGGAATTTGGACACAGAAATAAAGAGACAGAGGAAGCTGGCCACATGAAGACCCAGGCAGAGACTGAAGTTATGCTGTTACAAGCCAAGGAATGCCCTGCCAACACCTTCAGTTTAGACTTCTAGCCTCCAGAACAATGGGACAGTAAATTTCTGTTGTTAGAAGCCACTCAGTCTGTGGTGCATTGTTACAGCAACCCTGGGAAGATCACACAGCACCTTTGGCCTGGCCACCTCCCCTTTCCTGGCCTTGTTTCGTTCACATCCTTTTCTGGTCTCCTCAGAGGCACTTTTGTAATAATTACTTGCACATAAATCCTGACCTGAAGACAGGAGTGAGTGTTGCTTCCTAAGCCCACACTCCTTTTCTTTACCAACACTGGCTGTCTGCAGAGCAGGTGTCAGGTTGAAAGAGTCAAACATGCTGCAGGGATGAAGGGAACAGCCCAGGCTCTGGGCCAGAGAGGAGTGGAAAAGTTTCAATTAAGCCATAAGTCAACAGTGAAAGGGCCTGGGCAGGGCTAAGGGTGCTGAAAGAGAAGTTTCCAAATCATCACACTGCTGTGTGTAAACTCACTCCTGAATCCTTCCATTGTTCAACAAGAACATCTGAACAATTTCTCCAAATACAACATACCCCCAGGTGTAGTAGAAAATCCATATTCTTCCTGGGAGAGGGGGAGAGGGGCTTTGACTGCTAACACCTTTAAGTTCTTGGGGTTTGCATGAAGGCAGTCACTGTGGGCCATCAAATACAGCCCTCAGGCACTATGGTGCCTCACCTTAGCTGTCCGAGCCTACCCTCAGCTCTGTCCCGAGTCTCAACCACCTCCTCATCCCGCACCACACAGTGGCTGGGCTCTTCTGGGCCCTGCCTCAGATCACTCTAGGGCCACCTGCTGGCTAAGGTCCTTTAAAACTCAGAGATGTTCAGGGCGGAAGGAACCTGAAGGTGTATCTATTCCAAACCCTTGTTTTAAAGATGTTAAAATGGAGGCCCACAGAGGTAAAGAACCGGTTCACTGTCAAACGGCATCAAGTCCAAGATTCTGATATATTGTACAAGGTTGGATCATGCAGACTTGGGTTTGAATTCCACCTGAGCAACCGTGGGCAGATTCCTAAGCTTTCCTGAATCTCAGCGTCATCGTCTATGAAACAACTCTAATAGCATCTACCTCATAGACCCTTTCAAGATTAGCATTAAATTAACCTACTTCATCTGAGCACAATGCCTGACATAGACTAATGAACAGTATATGATAATTACACTTCTTAGTGATTGTTACATTTATAACAATTATTATTATTATAACTATTCTCTAGTTGACTCTACCTTATTAAACAAAATTCTGTAAAGCATTACTTTCTTATACGTCTAAAACAGGAGTCTTTAAACTTTCTCTGTAAGAAGTCAAATAGTAAATATTTTAGGTTTTATAACACATGTGGTCTTTGTCACAACAATTCAACTCTGCCACTGTTGCACAAAAGGAGACATAAGCAAATGTAAACAAATAGGTGTGGCTGTGTTTCGATAAAACTTTATTTACAAAAACAGGTATCAGGCCAGGTTTGGTCCACAGCTGTAGCTTGCCTACATCTGGTCTGGGATTATTATAACCGGTGATCATGCTGACGATTCTGACACAAAGCAAGTACCTTCAGAATTGGGAAAAATTAACAAAAAACCCTATGGGAATTTAGCATAACTTTAGTTAAAATATTATTTTATAGTATTTTTAAAGTTGATAATCCCTGCCTAATAAAAATTTAATCAATCAGAAATTTTATTAAGAATGACAATGGCGGGATGCCTGGGTGGCTCAGTCTGTTAAGCGTCCAACTCTTGGTTTTGGCTCAGGTCATGATCTCGTGGTTGTGAGATCAAGGCCCCACTGGGGTGTGCTCAGCACAGAGTCTGCTTCAGATTCTCTCTCTCTGCCCCTCCCTCCTGCACTCTCTCTCTCTCTCTCAAATAAATAAATAAATAAAATCTTTTTAAAAAAAGAATGACAATATTAATAATTAGCATTAGGCAAATCGTTTTAAATACACAATCTCATTTCATCCTCACAACAGCTCTGTAAAGGAGGTATTACTATAAAATAGCTCCATTTTACAAGTAGCTGAGTTTTAGAGAGGTTACATAACTTGCCCAAAGTTTCTGGTATCTAGATACCATAGTGAAAAAGCCAAGATATGAATTCAGGGCTGTTGGACTCCAAGACCCATGTTTCTATCCCCTATTCCCACTCCAGGGCCACACCAAGAAACTGGCTTTACTATGCACCAGTGCCTCTACGAACAAAGAATGTTTATTCAATGACACATGCATTTGTCAGAAACCTCATCACTAGAGGTATTGGATAGGCAGAAAGTAGGATGCCAGGAACTAAGGATGGTGGGGAATATTATTAAATACTACAGTAATGTCAACTGTAGCTCAAAACACAGATTATGTATACAATTGACCCTTGAACAACGTGGGGGTTGGGGCACCAACCCCCTGGGCAGTTGAAAATCTATGTATAACTTTTGACTCCCCCAAAACTTAACTACTAATAGCCTACTGTTGACTGGAAGCCTTACTGATAACAGAATGGATTAACACATGTTTTGTATGTTACATGTATTACGTATTGTATTTTTTTAAAACATTTTATTTATTTATTTGAGAGAGAGAGCGTGTGCACAAGCAGGGGGAGCAGCAGGCAGAGGGAGAGGGAGAAGCAGGCTCCCCGCTGAGCAGGGAGCCCGATGTGGGGCTTGATCCCAGGAGTCTGGGATCATGACCTGAACTGAAGGCAGACGCTTAACTGACTGAGCCACCCAGGTGCCCCTGTGTATTGTATTTTTACAAAAAAGAATGCTAGAGAAAGTAAAATGTTATTTAGAAACTCATAATAGAAAATACATTTATACTATTGTACAGTAAAAAATTTGCATATAAGTGGACCCACCCAGTTCAAACCCATGTTGTTCAAGAATCATCTGTATATAGGAGTTCTAAAATGAGGCAAGGGAAGAAAGTGGTTCAGTTTAAGGGGAAGAGGAAGAAGGGAGTATAGGCAAATAGGTCTACAGCTAGTAGTACAAAGGCCTGAACCAGTCTAGGTCTAAGTAAAGAGAAGTAAAAAATTGGAGAGTGCATTACCTAACTATGATGTGTTTCAACAAATAGTTACCGAGCACCTTTTCTATGCCAAGTGCTCTATGCCTGTTCTAGGTGTTGCAGATGGGGGGGGTAGTGGTATGAGGAAGAGGAAGAGGAGGAAAAGAAAAACGGACAAAAATCTCTGCACTCAAGGAACTTGCATCCAACTGAGGGAGAGATAGGTATTAAACAAAATAAAGGAGAAAATCTATATAATGAGAAACAGTAAGATTTATAGAGAAAAGAAAGTAGGAGAGAAGAAATCCCTTGCCTGCAATTCCTTGACTAAGAATCAAAGAAGGTATTTTATTCTAACATGCGATATAAAAGATGAGTTTGCCTGGGATCAGTAAAATGTTTAAAACTACTTAATCAAAAGCATAAGGAGCACTTTATTGACAAGTATAAACATCAGAAATTTTCTTAACTTAGGAGTCACATGGAAAAAAGAACATGGAAGAGTGAGCAAACACAGGCTGGGACTTTGTCAATACTGTGAGAGGGAAAACTCAAAAGAGAAGTTTCTGCCACTGAGGACAAACGTGGTTTATCAGACAGTTTTCTATGGCTCACTCAGACCAAAGCAAGTTCAAGCTGCTTGCAGAACTTTTAGGTGTATGACTTTGTCTCATATGACTTTATGAAGTCTCTGCTTTTCAACACAGGCTTTGTTCCAAAGGAAGTGTATTTCAAGGGGCTCATTAATTACCACAAGATTTTGGTCTCCTCAGCATAACCTAAAAAGCTCCCACTTCATTTTCATTTTGACTTGAGAGAAAGAGCAATCCTTGAGGGGACTTCCTGGCCAACTCGTTGGGACCAGGCATCTAAGTAAGAAGTGTACACTCTACTTACACTTTTCATCAATAGCCGGAATCCTCAGGGTGGCCACCGGAGATTCCCCAAGAGAATTATAAGAAATCACATACACCCAGTGGGTCTTGCCTCCCAGATACAGTTCATGCGTCTGGTTAGTGGTGTTCACTGTTTCTGTGAGATTAGTGTTGTTTTCTGGAAAGTACCATATGTTGTACCCAAGGGCCTTCTCCAGGACCGGAGCTCCGCTTGCCTTCTGAACCCAAAGGAAACAAAATGTATTGCCAGAAACACAAAAAGATCGGCACTGAGATGGTAATAAATGGTGAGCATGAGGGGTGAGGGGTAATGTTAATTATTAGGTGCTAAACTACAATTAGGTCATCACCCTTCTGGGATGAGTAACACACCCCGTGTGGTGTTATTAATCCTTCAAGGGCCAAAAGAGATTTGATAAATGGTCCGTTGGTATCAACCCTTAACAGAAGTCTAATTTCATGAGGCTTCACTAGGAGAAGGTGCAAGCCAATGTAAGCAAGTCATTTTGATGCTTATCTTTCTTGCCCTCCCACATGCACAGGACAGTATAAGCTAAAAATGTGAGGCATTCACTCCAAGAATCCCAATTCTGTTCTAGCCCTGGAAGCTTCTCTGGAAGCTTCCAAGGGTTGGAAAGTACCTGTGCAGTTACATAAAAAGCAGCATGCCTCCCCCTTTGAGAAAGGAGCGAGCTTCCCTGGACCAGCCATACCAGATAGCCCAGCTAAGAGGCCTAAAACATTCACGGTTGCCCTACCAGTCCTAAACCTGTGGTGAGAAGCCTAAGGTGACCCCAGGGATTCCAAGCCAAACTCTTCTTTTCAGCCTCGAACCTGAACCTACTAATCATATGTTTTTGCCTAGGGATCACCTTGCTGAGTATTTCCCAGGAATTATAGGGCTTTCCAGTTGTTCACTTTGTGTTGCTGACAGCACACACGGATGGAGTAAAGTGACTGAATGTAAGGTCAGACAGGACTTTAGAAGTCACTTTGTCCCACTGCCTTTCCAGTTCAGGAATGGACAGAAACTTCCTAATGACTGGGAGGTTTTTACTTCTTAAGACAATGCATTCCCTTTTGTAAACAACAGCTTTATTGAGATGTAATTCAGATACCATAAAATTCACTACTTTAAGGTATACAGTTAAGGGGTTTTTTTAGTGTATTCGCAGAGCTGTGCAATCATTACCACCATTCAGTTTTAGTCCAATCTCTTTAACCAACTTTAATTCTTAGACACCTCTCCTACTGAGGCAAAATAAGGACCAGTCCCTGGATGAGGAGGAGAAGGAGGAGGGCATTCAAGTCCATTTCACCAACTTCCCATGTTAGCCTACTTGACCCAATACTCTGTGGCTGACCACATGCGGATATGTGCCATTGTTTGCTTTCCTTCCCCAAAAATATGTTGACTGAGTGATTTGTTTCCACACTTAATCAGTGAGAAAGAAACCACAACATCTGGGATTCACACAATCTTGATTTTCAAAGGTTTCCCAGTGCGCCTGGTTGAGCCCTCCCTGGCCCGCTGCCCCTACAACCTGAGGGTGCCCCATAGCCCCAGGGTGTGAAGGGAGTGGGGAGAGGCAGAGGACATAATTGGGATTAGAATATCATTTGGTAAAGCAGGTGATTTCTCCATTTTCAGAAGGATTTTAAACTTGCCTGGACTTTAGCAAGTATGAAATAATATGATGACTGTTTCCTGAACACTCTGGACACCACTACAGAGTTCTGACATCTCACTGCTCTCCTCCCCCTCTTCTCCCCTCCTCAACTCCCCCATCTTTTCTCTCCTGGTTCCTGGCTGGGTTTTTTCCCCTCATATTTGCCCTTTTCCTTTCCTATTTATTCCCTCTACCCCTCCTTTTCTGTTCTTTGTCCAACCTTCTCTTCTTTTCTCCTCTCTGCATGATGCCCCCACCTTCTCCTTTATTCCTCAACCCCAGGCCTCCATCCTAGAAAGTACCATTTGGCCCCTGTTCTGTCCTTGTACCCCACTATACCAGTACTCAAAGGGACACATGTGCAGTATATGTCTTCAATGACCTGAGGACACATTAGTGAGCTGACCCCAAGTCAGTGCTCTTCTCCCATGTCAGGTTGGGTGCTATACAATATTACGCTGCCTTCTAATGCAGACAGCCAGGGGGTTTTCCCCAGAAGGTCAAGGTGCCCCCTGCATGTGCACTTTGTACCTTAAATGTTAATGTTTCAGAACAAAGAAGAGAGGGGGCAGCGTCTGAAGGCACATTTAGGCCAACTGTAAGATGACCTATGAGGCTTTGTGAACTGAGAAACCACAGTGAGATTTGGGGCATTATAAAGCCTCCAGGGAAGGAAATTCAGGAGGTAAAAGTTCAAGAACTACAGTTCTTGGAGGTGTAAAAGACCAAGGGTTTTAAACAGAAAAACAAAAATCAACAACAAAAAAACTGTAAGAAGGTCACCTTCCACATCAACTGCACTGGCCTTCTTCCATCAACCTTGGCTGGTCTCAGGACCCTCCACAGATCCAGGCCATAGGGAGCTGTAGGGAAACAAGAGTGAGGTGCTCAACATAAGACAGAAGGGAGCTGAAACAGAATACAGTGGAATTAGCTGGGTTGCCTATTAGTAATGCAGTTGGGAAGGGTTTGCTGGAGGGAGTCAGGAGGAGTAAAGTGGTTGGTGGAGGGATGGCAGCATTGCAACAACCCACAATGTCTTCATTTTGTAGCCAAAGGATTGGCATCAACCAAAGTAAAAAATAAAACTGCTCTTGGATCTGATGACTTAATATAAGGTAAAAAAAAAAAAAAGTACAATAAGTAGTACTGTAATATAATTTATCACTGAAATCTGGATTGAAAGGTAACATCTCATGTCCTGTAAGATATAACATCTATATACATTAAAGCTGGGGATGACACAGAAACTGATAAGGAGATAGATACATAAATAGAGATATATTATTATATTATATATACACTTTCAGGGTGCAAGAGAAAGAAAGAGGGAGGGAGAAAGAGAGACCAAGATCTACTCCCAAAAATGTTAAGATGTTATAAAATATAAGAAAGAATTAAAGAAGAAAGGAGCAGAGAAATAATCTTTACTAGGTCATTTCCTGAGCTTTAAATTCAATGCTGATCTTTGTGGCAGAAAAAGCAAAAAAGGATCATATTGAATTGCACGTTTCTCATAGCCTGACAAAACACAACCATATGAAGGAGCAAGTATTTTCTGGCTAGGGGAATGAATTAATAAATGGAATTTATCATGGGGATCCTCTTAAAAAGACAATGGGAAACATAAAGTCCAGTGTTTGCAATCACAGTTGAGCAAAAGTACAGAAATATGACATATGTATGTTTTTCATATTTGTGTCCTACAAAATGCAAGGGCATAAGGTTATACCTGATTTATACATTTCTCCAGTGAATAACATCAATCCAAGACAATACGGTTCAAGTGTGTTAGCTTCTGATGATCTAACCAGACAGGGATAATTTCAAAATTCTGAGTTTCTGATTTAAGAATGACCTATGCACGTTAGCCATGAGAAGAAAGCAGAGAATTCTAAAGAACTCTCCAGAAGGCTAGTGGCCTGTAATTTGGAGAAGGAAGGAAATGTCTCTAACTGAAGATGCAGTTAATGAACTCTGAGTTTTCTCTTGAGGAAACCACATGGCTGAAGATAATGTAAGTAGATCTGCAGAGAATGGGGTCAACCACTCAGGCCAAGATCTAAACTATTTTAGTACTGACATAGACTGTTTTCAAGTATCTGAAATCACACTTGGGGTGACTGGGTGTCTTAGGGTGAAATGAACCAAAGGGCAATTAAGTCAATAACCTGTTTTGTCAGCAATGGAGAGTCACATTTCTACAACTACTCTTGCAGAAGCTGAAATGGGTAAAACAGTCTAACTGGTAGGTCCCGATCTTGGTGAGATCTACTGTAATTCTATATAAGTTGCATATCAGGAAATTGGAACTATTTAGACTTTAAACATGACTTCATTTGTACTCCAGTAAGATATTGTCTTACTGTCTTACAAGCTCTGTCAGAAGTTATCTGATTTCCCAAAGAAATCAATATTCTTCAATATCAATGTCTTCAAATCGATTCTTCAATAAAAAATCAGAAGACAGACAGCCTGTACTCAGCTTTCTCAGACAGGGAACAAGAGGCTGGTTTCAACCTGTCTACAAGCCAATGAGATGTGAACACAGACAGAGTTCCTCCAGGCAGATAGCTTTAGCACAAGGCTCCAACGTCATGAGACCTTCAAAGGCGACCCACGGAATTGGAAGGACTCTCACTCCATCTCTCACTTGCAGAGTCTCTCCATTCCCATTATGTTCAGTCAGACTCAGAGATAATAGCACTGAGAGTAAGAAAGAAAAAATCTAAAGGCAAAGTGTGTTTATAATCGAGCCCCGAATATTCATCTGAAGGACAGAGGCAAAATAAACTGATTATTAGATAATCAGTCATTGCAGGGACTTGGTTAGAAATATGAGCGAAATTCTCCTTAGATTTTTCCCACAGGCAGGCATTTAGTTGTAGTAGATGGTGATGGTAAATGAATTTAATCAGGTATTTTCTCCTTTCACTGAGACCACTATTTCCTGCAGATAAAGGCCAAAAAGGAACCATCTTCCCCCTATCGAATTCCCACAGATGCAGCTTTTAGTAAAGCCATTACCTGAGTAGCCTGTAAATCTACAATGAACAGCAATTGTCCATTAACCACGAGCTAGTAATGGCTTTGCCGTATAATCAAAGTTAGAAAAGTAATAATTCTGTATTTGTAAAAGAGCAAAATTAAATTTTTCCAAATCCATCAAAATATCTACATATTCAAAGGCATCAATTCTTTGGACGCATTAGCAACAATTTCATGCTATCTTGCTTCCATTGCAATCTGGGAATGTCCACAAGTACCACCAGTCAGACATGTCAGACAACCTGGTGCCCTTGCTGACGATCAATAATAAGAATAGTGAACTTATAGCCAAGTGTCACTATACTAAGCATTTTACCTGATTCACCTCATTGAATCTCCACACCCTTATAATTAGGTAGACTAGTACTGTCATCACCATTTCTGAAACAGAGAAGCATGTTTGAGTGCTACAAGCTTTTAGGTGATAAAGCCAGGATCAGAATATAATTACATCTGTGTCATGTAGTAGGTACTTACATGTTTAAATGTGGGTAAATAGCCCCAATAATCAATCTATCGAAATCCAAATGAAAATAAGTAATGTTTCACATTTGACTTAGAAAATTTCAAACAATTAGAAATGGTTTGAGGCGGTGTGTATTAAACAACTGGCATTTCATTGTGAAATAGGGAAACAAATTATTTATGAATTGGAAAACGGGACATTAGGATTTGCTGGGAGCCAGGGGGTGCGTCTTCATCGATTTTCTGTGGGATCCTGATAAAATGAAGAGAAACAAAAGCAAAAGCTCTACAGTGGTGACTTTGATAAATAAGTGGTTTGATTTAATCAGCCACAGGCCCAGACAACACCAGCATCTAGGGCTCTGCTAACGAATCCCAGCCCAACTAGCCAAAATAACAAATTAGCCGAAACAGTAAATCTTGTTTCTGGCAGCAAAACAAGGGGATGAAACTGAAACTGAAACTGAAACTGACATGAGAGAGCAGCTGGGCTGTCATGAGCTAACGGAAGACATAGAGCCACTGTGGCACCGGGAGGTCACTGGAGAGAAGACTGCCAGCTACAGGGCAGGGAAGGGCCATGCAAAACAGGGTTATACCTGACGTAGAACTTGATCTCCCAGACCACCTGCTAAAAGGTATAGCAAAGACAGAGGACACTTCACCCAACAACACTGCATGCATTGCATTCTAATCTTTTCAAAGGGAGGGCTCAGTTAAGACAGACAACAACCAACTACTCCTACAGATTATAAACAATGGGCCATTTTTTTGCTGTGTAATTTATGTGCTGTTTAGTATTTGTAAACTATTATATTTGTATTCATTTGATACTTTGAGGTGATGTCTGTAGAATGTAAATGTGTTCCCAAATAGTGTATGTAATTTTAATCAAAAGTTACATGGGATCCACAAACTGACTAGTTTTGTTTTAATCATGTCTGTATTTCTTTCTTTTTTTTTTTTTTAAAGATTT